GTGTGTACGCAGACCTTACCCCTACCCCGAAGGAGTAGAGAGGTTATTTTCGAAAGACCCTCGGCTCAAGAAAACAAAAGGACAACAGGACAAAAAAAGACAATATTAGTATCACCACAACAATCATAGGAAAAATGAGAACACTATGAAAACCAGAAGAAAGATGCTATTGTAGTGTAGTTTATAAATATTTCTTAAGTTGTTTCATAGTTTTATCTTTTAACGTTTATTTCAAGCTTGAACTTATAATTTTTGGATGCTCCAATAAATTTTATAGTTCATAAATGGTAGTAACTCAAATAAATCCTAAACCAAAATCAAATCAATACTAATGCTAATAAAAAAATATTCAATTCAATAGTACTATGAATGAAAATAGTGTTAAATATCTATTTTTTAATTTTTCCATGGTTTAGATAAAATGCATAACTTATTTTTCTTTTAGTGTTTAGTCATGTGAATAATAGTACGTATAGTCGTACTTATTTTAGCAACTTAGTAATTTTAAATTATGTTTGTTTTCATTATGACTTATTAATAATATTGATTTTATGCAGTTTTATTATCTTTATTGTTGAACATTTTAGTACAATGCAATGACTCATTTCATATTTATGTTACTTTATTGAAAAACACCTTATATAGTTTTGTCTTACTAGGAATAAAGATATATTTGGAGCACAAATTCTATGTTTTGTGCTATGAAGACTTTATGGGGGGAAAATCGAAAAAATTCGAAAATCCGAAAAATTCGAGAAAAATCGAGATTAAAAAATATGACTTTTATTGGTTTGGTCTTTAGATTTAATAGCCCTACACAATTAGTTTGGTTTGGTAATTGAAAAATTCGAACCAACCCGACCTATGTACACCCTTAGTTATCATGACAATAGTTACTTTGACCAGATTTTATAAATCTTTCACCTGAAAAGTGTATTCTGCCATTGACATTATAAATCCTCCCATTTATGCAACACCTTCTATATTATATGCTAGATAATATACTTTTACCCAAGTATATTACTTATAATTAAAATAATTTAATATTATTTTATTTATTATTTTTTAATATATACGTACATTTAATTTTTTTCTTAACATTAATTTTTAATATATATATATATATATATATATATATATATATATAAGTAGCATTATTAAATGTGTCGGTAACATTACCGTGAACAAATCTCAAGT